CCCGCGATCTCAGCACTCACTGCCCATACTTCTCACAGGCCAAGGAGCAAGTAGCTGATTGGTGGCCCTTGTGGAACCTGTGGCCCAGCGGGCATTTTGGTGGGTTCCCTATACCTACAGATAGCACGGGGGTTGCCAAGGCTCGTGCCTGGTCTGGGACCGTTGCACCACCCTCCCTACTACAGGCCCAGAGGAGAGTTCAGACTGTGATCTCCTTTCCCATTACCTGTGCGCCTTCTTCTTCCGGATATGCCGCTGCGCGGCTGCCTTCAGAGCGACCTCCACATTCAAACCTGAAGGGCACAGATTGACGGTCAGGCAGGAAGCTGGTGGCATGCTAGGGACTGGCCGATGGCTGTGACAAAGGAGCAGGCTTCAGTCTGTCCCCACTGTTTCCCGCCGGGCCCGGAGTCCTTTCTCTGCATGAGCTGTGCTCGGTTTGCACACTGCAAGAGCGGATCTAGGCGGGAACGCTTGCTGTGTTCTCCTTTGTGCAAGAGGGGCCAGGAGACCTATCCCTTGGTGTACGAGAGGGACTTGGCCAGCTCATTTCCAGAGGACCGGCTGGGGATGTGGCCCCAGGGCCAGGTGGGTTTGTAGATGCAAACAGTGAGATCCTAGCTATTTGGCTTCGGTGGCTGTCATTTTGCTTTCCTTGCATGTGTTTTGCTCAAAACACAGCTACAGAACCCCACTCCGTTGTGTCACATCTGGCTCTGAATCTGAAAGGGAGCCTCACCTTCTTCCTCCTTCGAGTGGCTGGTGGGCTCGAGAGTGGACCTTGCACTTAGCGCCCCAGGGCCTCACCCACAGGACCACCTGGGCTCCCGCTAGAAAACAGAGCCCGTAAACGTGGTGTGCAGCGGCACACACGGCTGGACGCGGTGACCACACAAGCAGCTCCCTCAGCACCAGGCCTCTCCTTTGGCACTGCTCCCCCAACCCACTCCGATCTAGATCAGGGTGACGACCCCCTTGCACGCAACAGTGGGGCGGGGCAGCGCCCCTGAACAGTGTAGCTAGCATGTTTCATTGTGTGGGGCTGTGTGTGTTCTAAACACGGTTAGTTTTCACCTACCTGAAAGATCGATCGATTATAGTTATTATGTCTCCGTGTTTGAGTTTTACCGGTTCATTAACAGGGGCTCCGTTTAATTGTGTTGGGTTAGTGGTGCTGAAATTAATCAATAGTGCCTGCAAGCAGAGAAGGGAGAGAGCGTGTTCTGAGCGGTGGGCGGGGCGCGCGGTGGGCAGGGTGGGGGGCAGCCTGCAGACACACTTACCTCCTGCTGCTGAATGTCGATCCGGCAGTGCTGCTGGGACACCACGGGCAGCTGGATGCGGATGTCACAGTCCAAGCCCCTGGAGGAGAGAAGGAGGGAACGTGGGGGGTCTGCCGTGCCACTTTGAAAAGCGACCTCAAACTTCCAAACTAGAAAGATGGGCCGAGCATCTTTTATACTGTTGCGAAAGGCAGGAGACATCAGCACTCCCTCTGGCTGGCACTCTGGTGAGACCCACTGCATCAGGTGCTGTCCACTCCTGAAGGGCAGTCCTGGACTCACCGTCACTGAGCCCGGCCCGACTCACGGCCACAACTGACCCCGTGGCTTTCCTATGTCTCTGACTCTTTATGGGAGTAAAACGCCTTTCTCCTCTGAGCAGCTGGTGGTTTGAACAGCTGACTGTTCGCAGCCCAATGTATAACCCCCTACACAGCCAGCCCAGCTAAATAGGGCTCTCCCCTCTCGCCTTAAACTTGGACCTCTATACGGGTGAGGTCAGACAGCCCTTCTGATCCCTATGCACTGCCCGGCCCAAGTTGGACAACGTAAAGGGTCTTCATAATCTGCCAGTATTACAATCTTGGGTCAGGGATTCTTTTACACATTTCAAACATAAAGTGCTTCAAAACTATTACTTGGGGGGCTCCAAGAATACGGGGGGAAATTCCACGATCTTTTTCATTCCATTTCCCCAGAATTTCTGGACTGGTTCCCCATGATAAACCCTAGCATGTTAAACTTATTTTTTTTTAATTATTTTATTTTTTTCTACTGCCATAGGTCAGGGTAGAACTATCCTGGAGGAGTTTCTAAGATTATAACTCTTTTTTCCCCCTCCCTTCTTCTGAATTAGAAAAAAAAATTTTAATTTTTTTTAGTATCACTTTAAACCCTACATAAATATGATTTTCACCCTCTTCCAAGTTCCCTTCCTCCATAATTTCTGACCCATCCCCGGCCTTCTTGTCATCTTCAGGCTGATCCTTTGGGGTGAAAACCACTTTTCTTTTTCTTTCCTTATAATAATGATAGTATTAAATATTTATCATTATAAGATTGACTAACCTTCCCACGAATATGCTCTCTACTTTTGCCCGCGTCTCGGGGTGTCTGACACAGTCATTATTTTTTAAGGTTGCGTAATATTCCTTTGTGTGAACGTACCAGTCTGTTCATCCATGGCTCTAGATGACATATTTTTTAATGACTAAGACAGCATACGTTTCAGCCATACATGAAGGCTGTTAGGTCCGTGGAGAAGGACTAGTTTATTGTTACTGCCCTAAGTGTTAGGTCCGTGGCGGTGTGGTGGTTGGCGCACTGAGCTGCTGATCAGATTAGCAGCTAGTCCACCATCTGCCCCGCGGAGGAAGAGGAGGCTGTCCACTCTTCGAAAGACAGTCTTGGAAACCCAGAGGGACACTGTGAGTCAGGATTGCCTCAGTGGCCTCTGGCTTGGGCTTTTTGGACTAGGCTTTGTTCCACAAAGGGCTGCGTTGCACACCTTGCCTTCCTCACTTATGGAGATCACACCTGCAGAGGTGGGTGCTGGGCGCCCCTGGTGCCCACTTTGGCTGGGTCAGCCTTGGCATTTCCCTAATGAATGCTCCTTCCTTCTCCGACAGGTTCTCACTGGCTTTCTTGCACCAACACAGGTTGGCAAATGCTCATGCTATGCAGGCTTTTGATTTTATCCTCTTCTATCTACAAAGAACTCGCTGAGATTAAAAATCCAAATCTGCAAGCAACAAACAAGCATTGCGTCGCTGAGGTGGGTTTGCAGCAGGAAGCCAAAGCCACACAAAGCTGAGAAGCCCCCGTGCCTCCACACGGCCCAACCGCAGGCTCTGGTCCACGTCCCGGGACACTCTTGGGTTGTGTCCCAAACCAGGGAGCAGTGCAAATGGTTAAGCGGCTCAGCAGCAATTTGAACGATTCACTTCTGGGAAAACAACCTTGGAGAGATCCCGGAACACAGTTCTACTTGGAAACACACAGGGGCTCATGGTTCACTGGAGGGAGCTCTGCGGGGCCCTGACAGATGCTCCTCCCGCCAGTCACCTCCCTCCCCTGCCGTGATAGCAAAACATGTCTCCAGACCTTAGCTGCCAAATGCTTCCTGGGGGCTCGTGCCCTTGGCTAAGATTGTTGTTAGGAGCCATTGAGCCGGTTCCGACCCATAAGGACCAGATGCATAACAGAACAAAACACTCCTGGCCCTGTGTGGTCCTCACAAACGTTCCAACACCCGAGCACACTGTGCAGCCACTTAGCTGGGGGTCCCTGCAGTACCCCAGCTTGTCTCGCTGATCCCTACCCTCACCTCCCGCAGCCAAATGCCTGGGCAGGTCCCCCAGATCTCCTCACCAGGGTTGGGGCAGAGGTCACAGCAGACTGCTGACCTGAGCTGCAGCGGGCAGGCACTTGGAGTGGAAGGGATCAATCACCCATGCACAGGGCCGGGAGAGCATTCATGCCATAAAGCCCAGTGGTCTCAAAGCCCCTAAAATGGTCATCGTGGGAGACCGGGCTGGTCACACAGGGAGGCTGGAATGAGTGGGACCTGGGGCCTGACCACACAACCTTTCCAGGAAGGACCCTGCGTCTCCATTAAGTGAAGACGCCGTCAATCACACAGGCAGATACAATGACGGTGAAAAGAATCCCAGAGAAGCTGAAGCAGGGTGTGCAAAGGGAACGGCTGGCATTTAAGCCAGATTCAGAAGCTGGAGCAAGGGATGCCATCTTGACATCCGGTGGCTGAGGGCACAGCACACCTGGAAGATGCCTCCAAAAGCCACGCTCACTGCCCAGAGTTGATTCTGACTGACTGCGACCCGAAGGGCAGGGTCCAACTGCCCCTGTGGGGTTCTGAGATGGCAATGCTTTACAGGGATAGAAAGCCTCATCTTTCTCCTCTGGAATGGATGGGGGTTTCCAACTGCTGACCTTGTAGTGAAGCAGCCCAGCAGGTAACCCTTACATCACCAGGACTCCTGTGTTTTATTGGCCAAAGGCTTTAGCCTCGATCGAGCATAACAAATCAGAGATAGTGTGGCAAAAACCGGGAATTCCAAAACACTTAATTGTCCTCATGCAGAACCTGAACACAGACCTGGAGGCAATCAAGGGCTATCTCATGGCCTAAAATCAGGAAAGGTGTGCACCAGGGGTGTATCCTTTCATATTGATTCAATGTTTGCTAAGCAAATAATCTTCAGAAGCCAGACAATAAGGCAACATCAGGATTGGAGGAAGGATCATGAACAACCGTGTATATGCAAATGACACAACCTGGCTTGCTGAGGAGGAGGACTGGAAACACTGATTAAAAAAACCCCAAACCTGAGACCAGCCACGGCATAATTGGCCCAGCGCAGAAAGAAAAGCCAAAACCCTCCTGAGGAGACCCACAAGAGAAACAAACCATGGGAAACAGAGAAGACTGATGTAATTCAAGATTCCACTTTACTTGCATCCACAACCAATAGGTACAAAAGCAGCAGTCAAAAAAACCCCAAGCGCCTCACTGCATTGGGCAAATCGGTGGAAAAGGTTCTCTTTACAGTGTTAAAAAGTGAGTGTCTCCCCCTGGGGAGTCGTGTGCCTGGCCCACCCCTTATTTTCAATCACCAACACAGACATGTGAGGCTGGACAATGGACAGGGAAGGCCAAGCGAAGTGGTGCCTTATCCTTTTGGCATTATTACCAGGAGCCACCAGCCCTTGGAGAAGGACATCTTGCTGGGTATGTGGGTCAGCAAACAAGATTCTCATCTGGTGGCCGGTGAAGATGGTGCCAGGGCGGGGCAGTGAGCGTTCTGGTCTTAGATAGGGTCTCTCTGGATAGGAACCCACCCAAGGGCGCCTGACATCATCTCTAAGCTGCTCTTACATTTGCCTCTGTTTTTTAAAAAACACAACCAGTTATGCTTGATTTGCAGTAAATAAACACATTTAGTGATACATCGACTTTGCTGGCCGGCATCGCGTTGCAACATCTGCTAGCATGCGCACACCTTACCTTCCAAACCAGCAGCTGTTGCGACAGAGGGGGAAATGGGCCCCATCGCTCCCGGTCCGTCTGATGATGACCAGGCGTCCACAAGGCCCCATGGTCTAAACGGGGAACATGCAGTCCTTACAGGTCTGCCAAGCAAGCTTACCGCCAACTCTTGGCCCAACAGCACCTGTCTCTGGGTGATACAAAAAGGACCAGGGTCACTGGGGGCAATGCGGCCATCGCTTTTTTGTGATAGATTCCCGTGGCTCTTAGAGCTCCCGCGCCGGCTGGTCAGACACCTGTCTGAATGCTAGCAGCACCCCAGTTCCTTAAGTCCCGAGCGGTACTGGCGCCCCGAAATTGCGATACCTGCCCCCCACCCCCCAGCCCGGAGCTAGAGCCCTCGCGGTCACCCAGGACAGGACACCTGGGGTCAGGCCGCGCACCTGGACAGAGCTCAGCTCCAGGCCCGGGAAAGGCTGTGGATGACAGTCACCGTCTGTCCAGCTTCCCGTCCGCTGTCCGTCCCAGACAGCGCCGGCCGGGGGAAGTCCTCTGTCCAGGACCCCGCTCGGCGTCCTCTGACCACGCGGGTCTCAGGACCCCCGCCACAACCGCCCCAGCCCGCCACGTGGCCCCGCCACTCACGTCTGCGCCGCTGCCCGGCTCCTGGCCGCCGTCGCCCCGGGAACGACCCGCCGCCGCCCGCCCGGCCGGTCCCCGCGCGGCCTTCTGCCGAGAGAGCCCGCCGCCAACGCCGCCAACGCCGCGATTCAAATCTAAGCCCCGATTCGAATTCTGGCGCTAAGCGTTGTGATTGGACGGCGGGCGCGGAAGGGCCAATGGGAGATGGCGGGGCGGGACCCGGAGGTGGGCGGGGCTGCGGCGCGCCCGGTGCTTCCGGAGAGCAGAGCCACCGGACTCGGAAAGGCACGGTTTGGAAGGGTTGCTGGGGTCTGAACTCTTAGCCACACCGCGTGTGGGGTGCTGGACGGCTCAGCACCCTCCCCTCCGCCAGAGCTGTCTTCACAGAGGAGAAAAGCTGCCCCGTCGCCCAGATAACCTGGCCCATGTCTTAGGGCCCAAGCCCGGGGACACGAAATGACAGCTTGGGAAAGTGCAAGGCTTTCCCCTAGCCCTGCTTCCCAAGGGGAGCGCTCACACGGTCCGGGCCTTCGCAGAGAAGCCCCTCACACGCACCAGGTGGACCCTAGTGCCTGTGGTCTCTGCCTCTTACATCATGAGGGTATTCTCATTGGTTATTCTCACTGCCAACTTTGGCTGGTGGCTGCGGAAGGGAACCATAATGTACGTACTACTATTGCAACTCCTTGGGCTGTGTGATCTGCAAGGTTAGCAGTTCAAAACCGCGGATGCTCCTTAGGAGAAAGAGGGGCTTTCTACCCCCGAAAACAGTGACAGTCCCAGAAACCCACAGTGGCAGTTCTACCCCAGTCTGTCGGGTTGCTGTGAATCGGGCTTGGACTGGGTGGCTGTGAGTTTGGTTTGGTTTCTTTTTCATCATTTTTCCCCTTTGCTAAAGTTTTTCCGTAATGTAAGGGCATTCACAATTGAACCCTGTACCACAGTTTCCTCTCTAAACTGTTGTTTGCCTTGGGTTTAATAAATGGCCCCTTTAAGAGTGTTGAAGCTAAATATGATTGTGTCTAGTTACTTCTGGCAATCTGAAATGACAAAAATAAGCTCTCCCAGTTAGGAAAAGGTGCCCTTGACTTCTGAGTGAGGGCCAGCCCAGAGGAGATCAGACCAGACCACCTCAGGGGCACTGTCCAGCTTCCAGGACACTCAGGATCCCAAGCATTCCTTTCCTACTCACCTTGACCCATGCCCAGGCACCTATCTAGAGAGTGGACTGGCAATGTGTTCCATTATGATGTTTAGCAACTGTTTCTTAACAGAACATGTGTACTGCCTTGTCAACTGTTTCAGTGAAATAGCATTTGTGTGTACACAGGAGGCCTTGAGGCTAAGGCTTGGGCTTCCAACGCAAGGTCAGCAGTTCAAAACCACCGGCCGCTCAGCGGGAGAAAGATGAAGCTTCCTAGTCCCTCAGAGCTAGTCTCGGAACCTGCAGGGGCTGATCTCTCCCGTGGAACTGACTTGATGGCCGCGAGTTTGGATGGTTTGGGAGGGTACACGCACAGTGGTCCAGAGAGCACGCAGGTTAAGTAGGGAGAGAATAATCCAAGACTGAAGCATAACTGGAGGCGAGTTACCTCGGGCTAAAAGTCGCTGGAGAAGTGGAAACCCAAGTTCCAGGAAGCAAGGGGATCATGTCACCTTTCTGAATTTATTTTTTAAAACGGCTGTGGGCAGCGGCCAAGCATCCTTTCCTTACCTGCCCCGGCCTAGGTACATTTAAGAGTGAGTGACAACGGCTTTTCAGTCCCAAAACGCATTAGCTCCCACCCAGCGCTCCAGATTTGGGGGCAATTACTTAGTGTGATGGAGACCAGGTGCCCAGCCATTTCCTTCAGTGGGTGGAGCCAAGGGAAGGTAGAGCCAGGGTTTACAGCACAGCTGGGTGTTAGGGCCCCTTTCTCAGTGGGACCCAGCCCTGTAGGTTTGTAAACTTCCTTCTGGGACTTAACCCGGGGCCCTGCCCCCACCTCACCTCTGCGATGTGGGGGAGGGGCACCCCATCAGAAACTCCAGGTTCCAAGCCCGATGGTGGGAGGCAGGAGGAATGATGGCAAGGATGCTGTGAGCCCCCTTACTGGGGTTCTCCTCTGAAGCAGCGCCCCCACTTCTACCCTGTGTTAAACCCCGGGCTCTCCACCGGTACAGTCCTCCAGTACAGCAGCTGGCCAGAGTCGGGGAATCACCTTCCAAGTCATTTTCTTCTTGCCTGTACCCCCACGCCCCCACAAACTGGCCCTCAGAGCCTCTGGGAGCTGCTAGCTCAGGCCCATCATGGTAGCCCCCACTCCCTAAACTTTATTTTCCTTTCTCTGACCTCCCCGCTCCTGACCCTTTACCCCAGTCTTAGAGTAGGGTGGGTTCTGGAAAAGTGGACCGCTGGGCAGGGTGGGGGCCCCTGGCCTGTGCCCCCACCCTGGACCTTTGGAAACTGGGTCATGGAGCCAGGGGCGGGGTCTGGGGTACATCTCAGAGACCCTGGGCACCAGCTCATCTCACAGGAGGGGAGGGGGCTGCTCCCTCCCTAAGCAGGACCCCAGTCCTCTGGCCTCCAGGCTGAGCTCATTAAAGATGACTGACCAGAAGGCTTCCTCAGAGCAAACCAGAAAGCTATGCTTACACCAGTTAGTAGTAAACGAGATGCTGCCCAGGCGGCCAGCCATCGCAGGGAGAAATGCGCCCGCCCACTAGCTGTCAGAGAAATAGAAATTGACACAATGACAGAGCTGCTACCTCATAGCACAGTTCAAAAGAGCAGAAAGACAATCAATGCTGGGGGGTGTGGAGCGATTGCTGGTGGGACTGTAGAATTGTCCTGCCCTGTGGAAAAGAGTATGGCACATCCCTAAATATAAGGACATACAAAGACCTTGGGATCCTGCAATCGCTCCACTTGGCATCTACCCTACAGAAATAAACATAGGAGCACATATATGCACACCCACATTTATCACAGCCATTTCTATACTAGCGAAAAAGACCGAAACCCTAACAAGCCCTGTCTGTGGAGGAACTGTTAAACAAGCTCTGCTACATATGCACAATGGCATAGGATGCATCCCTGAAAAACAATGACAAGGCCATCACACACCTCAGGGCATGGACAACATTGGAGGACATGAGGCCCAGCAAGGTTAGTTACTGTCTTAACTATTTCATGACACCATTATTATAAAGGAAATAAAAAGATTTTACACCCAAGGAAAAGGTTTTAAAGACTCTGGTGAGGCAGGGCTGAGTGGGGAGAGACACGGAGGAGGGGGTAGAGGAAGCCAAAAAAAGAAGGAAAAAAACCCACATGGTGGGGGGTTCCTGTCTGATGTGATGGGCCATGCAATTGTGTTTAAAATATTAGGCTTTGTGTGTGTGATCTTCCACAAATAAGAGGAAATAAGATGTTAAAGTATGTTTCTTTTTAAAGTGGTCCAGCCTTCAGAAAGCTCCAGACCCCTCACCCCACAGATGGCACACTGTGAGAGTGAAACTGACTTCACCAGACACTCATGTCACCCGAGCTAGTTCCAAACAGACAGACAGACAGACAAACCAAAGAAAGACTGCACTGGATTTCCACACAAGCTCTGAGCCAAGGAGTCAGAGCGACACTGAGGAAAGTGGTTCCAACTCAGAGTGACCCTCCATGGGGTCTCCAAGGCGTGGCAGATCTTGAAGGGAGCAGACAGCCTCAGCTCCAGGACAGGTTTGAATCTCCCACCCGGGGGTTAGCAGCCCAGCCTTTCCCTGACGTCTCCTGGGCCAGGCCACAATGTCAGGGATGAGGTGATGGGAAAGGAAGATTTTACAAAGGAAGTTGATGGTTCTCAACAAGTTAGAACTAGAAGGACATACTATTTTAGAAGTGTGGAGCAAAATAGGAGGGCGCTCAGCCAATAATCATCCTGGATAGTGCCCTAAAAAATGAAAAAGCAAAACTCAACAAGGATGAAAGACAGGGAAAATGAGAATGTAGCCTGCTAGCAGAGTAATGTGATGGTGTCATATAACAGTCTATATGTAAATAATATACAATAATGGTATCATGTAATATACATATATACATATAAAATAATATAATGGTGTTAAGTGCCATCAAATCGGTTCTGACTCACCGCATGTACGACAGAGACAAACACTGCCCATCTGGCCCCCTCCTCACACTTATGTTTGAGCTCATTGCTCCCGGTATGTGTAATATGAGCCCGCCAAGAAGTAGACAAAAGCAATAGATAACAATAAGGCAAAACATTATTGGTAGAAAATATTCCTCTAATAAAAGCATACTTAGTGCCACAGGGTGGGAGTCCCTCAGTGAGGTTGGGATAAAACTGGCGTGGATTCTATTTTTTAAATCAGGCATGAAGACCAAACCAGTCAGTCATAAGAGAGAGAACTGCATTTATATCAGGCGTCCCAACAACCCTGGCAGAAAGCCTCGGGCCTGCTTCAGCTTGCA